CCGCTTCTATTTCTATAATTTTCGGAGCATTGCCAATGTTTGGTGCAGCCCAAAACACAGGAAGACATGATTCCAATACCCTGGTGGTTGTCATTTCAAAGGCTCAAGTGCCTCCATGACATGCAATAAAACAGATTAGTTTATTAAAATAGCCTTAGCAGGTTTAAGATTAAAAGGTAGCTATTTACTGCAGAGTACATAAAAGCCTTTGACCATAAATTAACTAAATATACCTATTTTTTCTTTCTCCAGGATTTCAGTCTATTCATGAAGCTCTCAACTCACTCCAACAAATACAAGCAACAAAACTGAAACTAGAAAAAAAGAAATTCCAGAAAGACATTAAAAAGATACGATGTAAGATAACTGAACTTCAGGAAGACTGAAGCTTTCTCAGCATTTGCAGTTGTTTTCTCAACATAACCAGACTGCAGGCTTAAACACTGAAACAATGAAAATCTTATGTCTCCAAAATATGTTATTCCTATGTTTAAATCATATTTTATAGTAGAACCTTCATAATCTATTGCAACACTAAAGAAAATCAATTTTGGTGATTTTTTTCTGTTTTAATACATTGAAATTAGGTGAGTATCACAAGAAAATACAGTTTAAGGACTTACAAATTTGAAAAGGATATTTCACAAAAAGTTAGCTCTTATTCGGGTATTTTTAGGATCCACTTGTCCATTTAACTCCCTGAAAGTCTTAAGTATAACAAGTTCACTTCTAGTCTAAATTATGCTGGTTCTACATTGGTACATTTTAAAATTAGGCTTACTACATTTTCTCAGTACTGCTCTATGCTCATACTTTCAGCCTAGTAATATCAAGTGACAGTTGAAGGAAGCATAATAATCCTCATCTCAGTCTCTTGAATATAGCAGAACATTTACGGCAGCGTAATTTTGGTTGGAAATAAAAAGAAGTTGAGTCATCCAATGCAGCTAAGGAAACTGGTGCACATGATAGTTCAAAGGTAAAATAATGATAATTGTCACATTATCAGATATATGGTATCTATTTCCAATCTGCTTTTCCAGTTCATGGGAAAAGGGTGATAGTAAGAACTAGGTTCCAGATTATTAAAGTGGGTAAAATGGAATCTTAAACACATATTTATGTGCTTCAACTTTAACAAAGGACACAACCCGGAGATATGTTTACCTGGTAATTCAGGCTCCAGGATTCCAAGACACCAGTACACACTAAATACCAGCCCCACTAATGTCAGAGACAGTTCTGTAGGGTTGATTGAGGGAAAAAATTATCATAATTCAATTGTGGTAGATACTATGGTACGGTCATTACCTCTGGGACCAATGCCTGCTCTCTCCAGCAAACCCAATGGGACAGAACTTGGATAATCCTAGTGGCGCTGGTTTTCTATGTATGGCTAGGACAGCACACAGGGAAAAATTCCCCAGGAAGGGGCTCTTTCAGCATAGTTGTGAATGAGTCTCAGTATAGATAACAGGAGAATTCAATTCAGTAACAAATATACTTTTCTTCCTACAAGAAAACCTTTCTTTTCAGTGGTATATTCAAAAAAGCTAGAATCACAACAGGAAATGGTGTAAAGAACATAGTGACTGATGTCAAATGCGTTTCTTCTGTATTTCAATTTTGGTTTGACTCACCTTGAGCCTTGCAAATAGCACTCTTATGAGACATGTGTCTGCACATGGCTCTGATCATATCTTGGCAAATCTTTAAAATCAGATCACTCTATGCATTTTCAAGGAATCACAGAAAATCTAGAGCCACCTGGAATCCTAATATATTTCTACAGACCCTCACGCAGCTGTCTTCTGAACTCATCCTATAGGTTTCACATTATTCCCTACTTGTGATGTTGACAGTGGTAGGTACCATATTGTTACTGCATTAACCACAATGTTATGGTAAAAATAGGGTCACCACAAAATTTATTCCAAACCAGCAACGTGGATCACAGATGTTTGAACAGCTCCAGCTCATTCCACACAAAGCCTGTAACAAGGGGAAGACCATGCAGGTTTGTAGACTTGAGTGGGAAAAGTTTCCCCCCCTTCCTCAAGTCTCCTTTCTGCTCTAGCATGACAGCACATGTAATCTTGTCCAAAGCACTGATTTTCATTGTCAAACTGCTAGCTTGACATAATTTAGAATTTAAATGTCATATGAATTTAATGTGCTATATGAGCTTCAGTATTGTTATTGCTGAACAGGCAGTCATTGTGCAAGATGACATGTTCACAAGCTTCTAGCCCTCTTTTCCTCCTCTTTGCTTCTAACCAAAGGTTCCCAGATGTTCACAGCTTCTCCTCGTTAGTTGGCTTTGTGGAATGCACATTGGTCTGGATAGATCACCGGGCAGGTAACAAAATTCAAGGCCCAATCTTGTAAGTTCACATACTAGAAAAATGTAGAACTGGGCCTTACACAATTTCTTAAAAAAATGTGGGCTAAAACTATAGCATTAAGTTGAAACTTTACAGCATTAAACCAGAAGAGATTTCAGAGCTATAGACAGCTCACAGTACTTTAGACGATTAGATGGCCATAACCCCATTTGCTGATCAGGTGGAGTTAGTTAAGTTTACTATTGTTTTTGCCACTCTATACTGTTAGTATTTATAGTAAGGGGGTTACTATCCCTCACAAATGCTTTACTTTCATTTAAATTATTACAGAATACATTATCGATTTATATATAAGATCAGTGTGCTGATCATGTTGTGTGATTTAAGTTTGTGTGAAACAATGTTTGTATAAGAGAAACCCAGTTGGTAAAAGTATTATTGAGCAGAGGTATGCTTATTACAGGCAAGTAGGAGATTCAGACAGATAGCCTATTAAGATTTTTTTTAACAAAAAAACCTCATTAACTGATTTTATTTCATGTATACATTAGAGAATTAAAGTATCATGAATTATATCCTAGTACCATTAAAGGCAATGGGAGTTTTGTCTTCGACATCACCAGAGTCAGGATTTATGATATTTCTGCTTTTGAGGAAGGTGGTATGTACCGCTATCTGGTGAACCTGTTTTGTTGGATGAGTGGACTTTTTTTATTCCCATCTCTACCACTCATCTTGGCCAAGTCACTGCATCACGCTGTATCAATTTCCCCATATGTAAAATGAGGGTACAGCTTGCCTGTATTTGTAGAGTTCTGTGAGATCTACAGATGAAAAGTGTTAAAACCTGTCCAGCCTCTACAAACCCCGAATTCTTTTGCTCAGGACATAAGAGGCACTTTGCATACCCTAATATCTGAAGGATGTACATTTCCTTTGTCTATTTCTTGAATTTAATTAATTTAGCTTAGAGGCTTCCCTTAATAGTTTGCACATCATTTTTACCTCTCACACCTAACTTCAACATATATAATAAATTACTTGTTGATAAAATTAATGTATTAGCAATATCAACTAAAAGTTTCTTCTAATTCAAAGGAGATTGCATGGGTACTTTGAAAGTAACTTTTGTAATCTGATAACATGCTAGCATATTTTGCATCATTTTAATGCATGAACATTTTTGACAGTCATATGACTTATTTGGAGTGCTGTTGCAGTCATGGTGGTCCCATGATATGAAGCAGACAATTGGTGAGATAGTATCTCTTATTGGACCAACTTCTGTTGGTGAACAAGAAGCTTTTGAGCTATACTGAGCTCTTCCTTCAGGCATGGGAAAGATACTCAATGTCACAGCTAAATACAAGGTGGAACAGATTGTTCTCTGGAGACCGTGGTTCTATGTCTTATTACAACAATCTGTAATCCACTAACCCTCCTTGTCCTATGGCTGCAGAGGTGGTAATTGCCTACTTCATCTTGAACTATCTCTTGCAACATATTTTAACTCTACATGTCACCTGTTCCATCTTGTATTTAGCTGCGACATGGAGTATCTTGCCTTGAGCTAAACAATGCCGTATAGCGTAAAAGCTTGTCTCTTTCACCAACAAAAGTTGGTCCAATAAGTTATTACTGAAGCTGCACAATTGATTGTTATTAGCCTTAATTTGACTGCATTCACTTTCCTGTTCCCCTACCCTGACATTAGAATATACATGGTCTTTAGATTTACTGGCTAAGAGAAGGTCTAACATTCAACTCAGAATTGCTTCTCTGGATGTTTGCCTTTAATGTGATAAAACAGGAAGGAAGGGAAAGGCAGAACTAGTAGCTACAGGTAAAAAAAACCTGATAGTTGCAGCCTTTAAACACATTCCTGCATAACAATACCTTCCCAGTCAGCTCTGGTGATCCTCCCAATACAATTTGTAAGTGATGATGCTGAAAGCAAGCTGGATAAAGACAAAATAAGAAGGGGCCTGAAAGTGGGGGAAATAGGGCTGCACTGAGCTCTTGGTATTGGGAACAAACACTGATTGGAAGAATGGAAGACCATGTCATGAGGGCACACAGGGGGAAGGGCAATGAAACAGAGGTGGCATAAAGAAAGCTTGTGGAAGAAAAAAAAATGGAGAAATGTAAGGAATCCAGTAGGCCACAATGTCCTAGTTAGGGTAATTATTAAAACCATAAATTTTAATTGAATTACTGATTAAATCATCTTATAGGATTATTGCTAAAATGACAACTGATATGAACCATAAAGGCATGGAATTCACAACACTGTTTAAAAAAATCAGAGGAGACAGAAACAGGATGGTGGCTAGTAATAGTATAACACTAACACTACGTGATTTATGTAAACAAGTTTAAGAGTTGGATCCCTAGTCAGTCCCTGTGGACTTCAGAGGGATAGTGGGACCCTAGAGAGAAGCAATTTTTGTTTTTCCCCAGGAGCCACAATCACCTTAAGAAAAACGTTTTACATGGAAGTTTATGGGAGAAGGTAATAGAAGATCCTCACCATTTCTCCCTTCAGTAAGTTAAGTGCAACATGCTACCTAACCTGTTCAAACTTGAATATTAGCACTATATACATGCAGTATACAGTAAATTCCTAATTGTTTTCAACAAAACACTCAGACTAGATTCATTGCATTTTTAATTATATGTAAGTACACGACAGAATTGCATCATGTGTCAAGAATAGTTATCATGATTAATCCAAATGAGAAGTCAACAGCAGGAGTACCAAAAAAATAATAAATACAAATTGCCATACATATTTATAAATATATACCATAGACCAGATCATTGTGCAAAATCTCATTGTTACTTATTGATATTTTCCTTTCCAGAGTATACTGTGGAAATCTGGTTCTCAACTCTGCAATAGGTTAGGATGCAGACAATTTTTTTTTTATTCCCACCTCTACAGATGGAGTTGCAGATGTATGAGAGTCCCAACTGTAATATAATGAACATTATAGAAAGCTTAGATTTTTGCGAGTTACAACAGTCAGGAATAACTTAAATGTGAATTTGCATACTCTTGACGATTTAAGGCTTTGTTTCATATAGTAGGAACTTGTTCTACTGTACACTATTGCAAGTGTAAAATAACAATCACTGCCCATGTGAAGAGCAGGAACATGCTGTAAACTCCAACGGGGGAAAAGAAGGAGGGACTTTCTGTTGCAGCAGCACAACATATATTTATCAGTGAGGAAAAATACAAGTTAAATTAAATGAGTTTTGTCTAAATATAGGAAAATGATGGCAGTGGCCATCTGAAAAAAAATTAAAGCAATTTGCTTTTGTCTAACAAAAAACGATTTTCACTTAAACGGATATGCCGGGGGGTGATGTGAATTAAGTTTAATCAATTTCTTCCGGTTGCCTATTGAAAGAAATCCATGCTAGGCAGATGCTGATAATTTCTTGTCTAGGTCCAGAGCTCTAGTATCTCCATTAACTTTGGCATTTGCTACAAGCGCCTGTCGGAAAAATTAAAGAAAAAAAACAGTTATTTATGATATCCAGATATTTAAATCTCTCCTATTCAGCTCCTGTAAAAACCTAAGCCACCAAAATATCTAGAGATAAATGGGATATTTCAGTTTTATGCAACAGTTTACGTAATACCTTAAGAACGAAATTGCAACCACAGTAATGAAAGACTGAGGCTGAGATTCAATTTTCCAACTAGCATGGATAAAAATCAACGATTTAAAAAAAAATTAAAAATCTGGTTTTGTTTCAATTGGATTTTTAATTTTTTTTTAAATCGTCAGTAAAATACTAAATTTCTGTCACTTAAAAATAACAGTTGAAATTAAAACTTATAATAAATATGCTACACCTACTCTTGCAATCTCATAAAATCAATTAATAGCTCTAGTGTGTCCAGCCTAATTACCAGCTCTTGCTTCTAAAATGGTCTGGGCTTTTAATTTGTTTCTCAGCAGACTAACATGTGCAAAGACAAACATTGGCTGGACAGGATTGTTTTTCATCTGTGCACATGTGGGCCAAACACAGCAGAATTAGTTAAATCATTGCTTAAAGATAGAGACACAATATATAAGAAAGGATAGACACAGCACAGAAAGGAACAGTGGAATGGGTTGGAAAACAAAAGGGAAGATATTCAGCGCACACACAGCTTCCTATATTCCCCTACACTTCTGCCACAGAAAAACTGCCACAGCTTCTGGTTGTAAACAGATCCTATACATAATACATACTTAGTTTGGAATATCACGGTCACAGACCATAATGATATCATAAGTCTATTCCCTATTTTACGTCACCATAACTCAGCTTTCCCAAAAGAAACCCATCCTATACTTGTTTCTGATGGGGCTTACTAAAAGTAAAGTGCACACTCTAAAGCACAGTCTGTCTTATCTTTCTCTGGTAACTTGGAATCAGATCTGCATCAAAATGATAGCGGGAACGGGGAATATGAAAGCTAGACATTTTAAAATCACCCTACATTTAGTGTTTTGAGAACTTGTCAGAATTAATAACATTTGAAAATTTAAAAAAAAAGTTTAAGAACGGTCATCAGCCAGGAGACTGCTGCAACTACAAATCATTTATATGATTTAGTTTAATATAATGTAAGTGCTACTATGTGTGTGACTTAGTTCTTACCATTCCTAACGTACTGTTGCTGCATCTGCAGCTTGACACAGTCAATGAGTATTATATGTACTACTTCCTAAAGTAATAAAAATCAAGTTATCTTAAAAAAACTACACAAAGTATACATTCTTAGATGCTATAAAATGCTGTTCTGAGTTGCAAATTAACATGTTTTAGTGATCAGATTTACCCCACTGTTTGAAGAAATCTGAAGAAGTATCAATGGGAAACTTTATTTAAACAAATTATTTTTCCAACTAAGCAGTTCACTGACAAGAGGGAAGACACTCAAAACAGATGTGGAGGCAGGAAAAGGGAATAAGGGAATTTGTGTGCAGCCATCTTGGTCTTGTTAACAAGAGAGCAAGAGTCAGGCTAAGTTTGTGGTCTGACAACACTCGCCTCCATAGGGAGATAAGGATAGAATGCTGACTCTGGCAGGGACCTTGAGATAAGGAGCATCTGGGTGGAACTAAATAACTGTTAGCCATTGGTGTCTGTAATGGGAAGGAGACTAATTGTTATTGTTGTTATATTTAATAAACAGTATATAAACTGCTTCATAATTGCTTGTATTCGAAGATCTGCCTCGGAAGGGGGGGGGTCCCCCCGTCCGAACCAGTTTTTCCCTTGCTGCAGCTCGTAATAAAACTGCCTCTGGCTACTTGTTGCTTAAACACAACGCAGAGTGAAGGCTTGTTTTCTTCCACACAGAAGATACCTGATAGGTCATATGGCCTTTCAATATACTCCCTGCATGACACTTACTGGTAGGGCCTATCTTTCTCTATGACACAGCCCACTTATACAATATTCTCAGGAAGTTTTTCCAGTCTGTCTAGGGTTTCCCATTCAGAATTTAATTCTGACACATCTATTTGAGGTCTCTGTATTATTCAAGAACTCGCCAGTTACAGATATTCATAAATTCTACTTGGCACGTCTTCATTCCCTATGGTCACTTAACCAAATTCTACATTAAACTGATTTTTTCTATAAGGAAATTCCTCCTGAAACCTACACTAGATATTTTTATGACTCTTCTTTAAGCTCTCGCAGCCTCTTGCTAGAAACAATTCTCAGAATGGAGTACACTGAATCCACACCAGATTCATATCAAGAAGAACTCTGTATAGCCAATTAAATGTCTTACAATGCCTGTCTATACAGGCAATTCAGATAAATTTTGCCCCATAAAGGTTTTGAAAATTGTAATGAATTTTGGAGCAGAATTTCTGACAACACTTTCTTAAAATTCAGTTAGCAAATATGATGCTTCTGATATTACAGTCAAAATGTAAGAGTGCAGTTGAAGTGCCATAAGAATAAGCATACATGTGTTTATTCTTTACACTGTTTAGTTACATTCATCAGCAATTATAACAATCTCCTCTCCCGCCTCATTCTATTTTAACCTACGCCTGCATCTGCTTTGGGGCTGACAATCTCAGAAGCATTTAAATACATTTTCAGATAAAATCTTCAAGTTTTTACTATAAGAGCTCAGTATTAAACAAATGGAAATGAACAATTGGCCAGCATCCTGTCTCAGTCACCATTAGTTATGCTGACTTTGTCTGATAGTCACAGTGCATGGAACAGCTTTGATTTGAAGCACTGGCTCCAAACAATCCTAGAATAAGATTATGCTTTTGCTTCTCAAATCCTGGAAGGATTCCATAATACACCCCATAGATATTTCTATTAATGGAGACTAGCATAGAAAGCTATTTAGCAAGATTGGCATTTGTGTATGTATATATGTATAAATATAGACAGATTCTTACATCTATTAATTCATAATCATCTTTGGCATATAAATGTCTTAGGAGGTACCAGCGTGCAACTGATACTATGGTTTCAGGG